TTTTTTCCATAATTAATGTTTGGGGCTCCACCTGTTGGACATGTCATGGATCCACAATTCAAACCCCTTTTTTTTGGGGGTTATGGAAATATGTATGCAAATGCAAGTATGTAGTATCAACCCAATTGGTGGCAGGCTTTAGGGGCATATACCAGATCTTTAGACACATATTTTCTATAATTCAATGTTCCCCCTTAAAATGCATTCAAATTGCGAACATCACATGATATTATGTATATCAATGGAAGACTTAGGGGCATATACCAGATCTTTAGAGACATATTTTCTATAATTCAATATTCCCCCTTAAAATGCATTCAAATTGCGAACATCACATGATATTATGTATATCAATGGAAGACTTAGGGGCATATACCAGATCTTTAGACACATATTTTCTATAATTCAATATTCCCCCTTAAAATGCATTCAATTTGCGAATCGATGGACATACAGTCACCGACAGAATTATGGAAAAAAAATAATTATGGAAAAAATAATTATGGAAAAAAAAAAGGTTCGTAACTTTTCTATCATAGACAGGCGGCGCCTGTAAATTGAAACGTTTTATTTTTTTCCATAATTCTGTCGGTGACTGTATCACTATTATATTATTTTAGGTCACAATAGTATAGTGATAATATCATAGTGGTTCAGATATCTGAAGAGATCAGACATTAATTGATGCCATATAAATACGTATATTATATATCATCATATATCTAAAGGAGATTGAAGCAATATTGATGTCATCATTGGAGTTTTATATAATCATCAAAAGATGGGAATGGCATTGATAAATATGGTAGATTCCAACGACCTACGTCGCCTTCACTGGAATGATGGTGTCTGGGTACAGTTCAGATTGGTGAATCACTCTGACTTATCCAGATTTGACGGGGGGTTCTAGGGAAACGTTGGTGAGCAGAATTTCATTTGCCTCCGGTAGTCTAAAATGACAATGGAATAGTGAAGCATTTCAAAGTTGTACTCTCTCTCTATGTATATATATATATATTACCATTACATTATTACTAAGTAATATATGTTGAGTCTGACTATATATCCAGTTAAGGCATCTTTCTAGTTGAATTTGTTTGCACAAAGTATATCGACTTCAGTGGCCAACAGAGCACCCATTTCCGATGCTGAGGATTTAGGGGAACATCCCCAAGAAATCGCACACTACAAAGTTGGTTTGTAACTCCAATAACTATAGTTTATGGTACTTTTAACCAAAGTTACTGGGGTTATTTCAACCAACAAACATCACTGGGGGGGGGGGCACATTGTAGATGCTTTCTCCGAGGGGAACAGAGAGAATCACAATCTTCCCATGACTAGATGGCCCTCATTGAGGACATACAGTACCTTAATCTTCGTGTGAAGATACCAATATCCACTATTCATTAGGTTCAATCGCCGTTTTCTTTTGTGCCTATAATTATTCATCGAAAGGTGGCTGTTCAATTAGAATTATGTAAATATATACACATAATGTTCCATGAAATGATCATTTACACATAATTGTCCATTGAAATCCATCCAGAACCACGTGCCTATCTTGGAGGGCACCGGTCTCGGCAGGCAAAGAATATCCCACGCTGAAAGAGATCCTCAGGTGACAATCTCAGCAAAGAACATCTGCATGAAACTGGATGCATGGAATATCATGGGAGATTTATAGAATACTTATGGGATGTAGAAGAAGCATTATGCATGTAAATAGAGTGGAAAAGTGTGATGAATTTACAGCAGCAAAAGTTGAAGGCCCAGATATCCTCCATAGAATATATAGAATATTTACCATGTACATCAAACAAGACCCATTCATGTCGGTATATGTGTCATGCATGGGTCATGGGATGTCATGGGTATATGTCATCCCTAGTAGACCACTCTGTGAATTTTTGGGATGATAAGTGCTGACCCAGCTGACCCATTCCTACCTGGGCATTGAACAACAAAACGAACAACGGGTAGCAAGTACGTTTGGTGGATCAAACCTTAATGTGATCGACTGTTTGCCGGTTCCTATGTGAATTTAGGAAGGTAATTTGAGTTAAATAGTGCACTCATTCCAACAACGGAAACAAGACAACAGAAATTGGTTTGCTGCATGCGACTTCAGCACTTCGGGAATGTTCATGCACAATCGTAGATGCTCGGCTTGTTTGCCACATGTTTCTATGTGCAAAGCATATTGGCCCATGAAGTGCAAGTGTGTCGTGTGAATAAATGTTTAGTTGGTGATTTTAAAGATGTTTTAATTTGAACTGACTATATATAATTATAATATTTTGCACTGGGGTTGAAAATTTAAACCACCAACTAGATTTGTTTGGATACCTCTTTTGTGACATCTGTGAAGTACACTCATGCACTGGAAATGTTTGGACCTCCGTCCTGTTTAGGAGCAGAACAAATCAGAAGAGATGTGTGAGAAATTCTGTCCCTTCAAGATCTTTTAAGAAATATCTCGAGTGTTTGGAAGTGAGATCTCAAAAAAACACTCCTGGCCATGTTGTTGCAGTAGTTGTAGTTGTAGTCGTAGTCGTACTCGTAGTTGTACTCGTTGTCGTTGTCGTTGTCGTTGTCGTTGTGGTTGTGGTTTGTGGTTGTGGTTGTGGTTGTTGTGTGAAGTTTCTTCTCCGCAAATTGGCCCAAATTTTCTTCTAGCCAGGTTCGCGAGCATCTTCAAGAATGAGATGCATCTGGAGAAGATGTCGCTTGGAAGATGGTGACTGCGCTGTGCTGCTGAAATTGTGTGGGTGCATGATTCGAAAGAGTGTGTATTATATATATATATATCTATCCAGCCAAAAGATTGTGTGGTGGCGTGTTAAGATTGGGACCACCAAAATTGCATAATTCAATACTGAAAGATGGCAAAATTGGATGAGTCTGGGGTACAGCACAAAAGATAACGCCAGCAATATTCCAGCGCTACGTTTTAAGAACGGTCTGCTCAGTTTCCCACATTGGTGATTCAACCCATTAATGATCTCCATATCCCATTGATCCATCACATGTTCAAACGTTTGCCATGTAAGCAAGCATGGTTGGCACAGGTGGAAGCCAAGCCTAGTGTGGCCGTGTGCCACTTGTTTCACATCCAAAAAATGCAGGGCCGTTTGCCCCGAGCCAAGTTGAGTATGCTGCTTGACCCGCGGGTTCAGCCATCCCGAGCACAGTGTTGACCGGAGTTCATTTTCATGGCTCTGCCGAGCGGCCGGACCTGTCCAAGCCATTTCTCAGAAGATTGAAGCGTCCGGGAGTTGAAAGAAGCGGCAAGTTGAGCATCAGCATCACCGGCATCCAAACATGCTGAAAGAACAGCGAGCCGCGAGCACATGCTTTGCCCATCCAAGAGCCTGTTGCTGACGGTACTGGTTGTAGTTGAAGCAAACTAAAGAGCAGATGTGTGGTCAGTACATTGGTGGTCTACTGCAACGACTGTCAGCGACCACGGACCTCAGCCGATGGAGGTGATAGCTGCTCCATGGTGCCAAACCCGCTCCATGGTATGGGAATTATATTTACCTACAATCTTGGCCCATATGTTTGAGGTAAATTTGTAGTACTCAAAATCTTCCAGCACCATGGAGCATTACTGGGAAAGATTAAGGGAGGATGAACTGGCCTTGCCAGGAATGTTATTCACCACGATCCCTGTATTCCAACGTTACAAGCCGAAGGTGAAGGTCATATGAGTCATAAACCTTAAAATACATGTATTTTATAATATACTATAGCTAGTTGTGCAAGCAAGTGTAGTAATAATGTAATATGTTGGATATGATAATTTACCTGTGTAGATTTGATATGTTTTGATATTACTATTATAATATATTATACCCTATGGATCCAAACACTGTCTGAGAAGGTACTTAAGCCTCCAAATCATAGTAAATTATACCCCAAACACTTCCTAAGAAGGTACTTGGACCCATGGGGATATATTATAATATCTATATTAGATTTGATATGAAAACGCATGGGCGGTCCTCTTGGCACTGCCCAGGTCCTCGCAACAACTCTCCGCCTTGTCTCAGATGCTGGGGACTGCCCACGTTGGGCACCCTGGCCTTTTGAGGATCTGCTTGGGATTTTGGGGTAATCATATACAAGGTGGTACACCCTCTAATCATTTAACATAGCTATTTTTCAAATGGCCATGTATAGTGAATTTTCTCATTAAACATGGTGATTTTCCATAGTTATGTTACAATCCCTATTAGCTATATATATATATATATATAACCCCCTAATCAACCCTAGATATTGGACTTATCAACCAACTTAGCCAACTATGGGGCACCAGGTTGTATCATTAGGGCTTTAGATAAACCACTATCATTGAAGGGAAATGACATTTCAGGTCTCAAACTTGGGATAATACACTTACTTTTAATTGCCTGATGCATTTGTTGGTACTTTCAACATCGCAAGTCAAGAATAGTCAATAGTCAAAATGTAAGTTGCTACATTTTTTTTAGGTTTCCTAAGTCATGGTGGTACCCCCAGTCCTCATCCAGTCGTCATGGATGACCATAGTGTTGAAACTCATGGTGACTTGGAGGTCCGTTTCATTGTGCAACCGACGTCCCAAGCCCTGGAATTGTGGCTCAAAACCATATTTCTGTTGATGTTTGCTGCATTTTTCAAGTTGTGTTGGAACAGCATTCACATCATTTTGGTCAGGCAGTCCATGGTTTTGGAGTGAAAACCTCTGGGAAAAACATGTGTGTTTTCACAGTCAGTCGTGTCATTTTTTTCACCTGAATTAATTCAAGAATCAAGATCCGAGTCAGGTATTTCCATGACGTTTGATCGTGCCTGGCCCACAACTTAAAGTCTCCACTTCTTGTCAAGCTTAACGCCCTCAATGTTTACAAAAAAATGTGAAAGAACCACTAGTCAGGGAACTCGATTCCAACTTGCCAATGGCTAGCAAATTGTCCTTAGGGTGACCACAAATCCTCTTTGAAGTGGACGCAATGGCCTTACGTGTGGTGGTGGTGAGCGACACCCACAACCAACATCAGAAGCTCGAGGTATCTCAAGTCCTGGAATGCAGACTGGTTTCCATTACTGGATGGGTAGAAACAAATCCTTTTTTTAGTTGGTATAAATGGGTATGGATCAATACCTATTAATACCATTTTTAGGGGGATGAACATCCATTTACCAGCTATTTTGATGTTCACCAGGGGTACAAGGTTTTGACACACTGCCAAATGGAAAATCACTGAATAAACAGCAAATGATAACATGTTCATCATTTTTGTTGACTATCAAAGATTGACCATGGTTCCAACTTGTTCTTCCATGTGCTTTAATGATCTTTTATGTTCAAGCAGTTGTTGCGATGATGACAGAAAGCTGTCAATGAGTGATTGAGCATGTGTGTGAACCCATGTATGATGTGTAACCCCACTGAGACTGAAACTATATACTATGTATATATATATATATATATATGAGTTGTTGATAGTGATTGCATATTTCACCGGGTTGCTGCAACATGCAGATATGAATGTATGTTATCTATACACATGATGTCATGGATTATATGATATACATGGATATACATGGATATACATGGATATACATGGATATACATGTGTGCATGGTCCCATTTTCGCTTCTTTTTTCCTCGTCAATTCAAAGGTGCCCGATGGAGACATTTTGATCCACTGCGGTGACATGACCAACCGTGGCTCTGCCCCAGAGTTACAGGAGGTTAACGCCTGGTTCGAGGAGCGGCGGTTCTGCCATGGAGGTACTCGTACAATTTTTTTATGGACCCCCGGGGGCTTATGAAATTGCTAGGTTGGGGGCCACATAACTCCAATTTCACTATGGTTTTGTGAAAACCAACATAGCCATCACATTTTTTGGGGCACATTTTTTGGGGATTTTGTCATGTTGTCTTACTGTTTTGATGGGGGTGGGTAAACTAGATAGCCAACTATGTTTTTTTTGGGCAGAATAAAAAACACAAAGTAGGAAGAGACCGATAAAAGAAGGCAAAATAAGAAGACAGTTGGGATGAAACACAAAGTCACAAAGTGGGAAGAGAGCAAGGAATTTCTATTGATAGAACCAAACAGTTTGATGAATAGTTGGGTAGCTCACTGCACTCGTTGCAAGGCTAGGCTCGACCCGAGGAGCTTCCTCATCGGCACAAGTTGGTCATTTCGGGCAACATGGACAAGCGCCCCTGGGACAGTGGAGATCGGATGGGGCCAGGGATGGCCAGGGTTGTCCCCTAAGTTAAAAAATGGTTGGATAAACTCCATGAACTATGAATACATCTCTTATGCAGCCTAGTCATTGTAATTCAGGTTCAACCATCTTGACTAACAATGGGGCAGCTGGATTCGCTGGATCATTGTTTTTTGTGCCCAGATCTCAAATGATCCAAATGACATCGTGCGTTCAGACACTTGGTATTTTGGATGTAAAATGCATGGGAAATGATGACCTACAATGTGGGACCCGAGCCTGTGATGTTTGTTGGTGGCTTGTAAACCCCATCTACTCGTATTATAAGTATCATACACCTTAGTTTGATATATATATATATATTATATAATATATATATATATATACATACATACATACATACATACATACATATTGGAGTTATAGACTAAACTAGTTATCGGTTGGGGGCCCACTTCGTACCGCAAGGGTAAGTTCAACAATGTTGGTGTTGTCCGGTTGTTGTGGATGTGTCTCTTCAAGGCTGCAGCAAACGCTTCCAACTTTGGCACAGTTTCGCTTGAAATTACCATCCGGCAATAAAACATGGCTAGCTGGGAAATCCCCAGTCTAATTGGAGTTTTAATTGGAATATCGTCTACACATGGTGGATTTTCCATAACTATGTTTGATTACAGGAGGGTATTTCTACTGGAAATGCGTATCCCAGTGCTTTGATGCCAACTCAGAAGTACTAAGTCAAGTTTAAACCTAGCTCCGCTTGAAACATCAATCTTCCTGGTAGATTCTGTCCCACGACGTCTGGTATTCCTATAACCTTTTCAGGTTTTGCTCGTTCTATGTTGGTCCAGGGTTGAAGCTTACTGGGTTAGTCAAACCAAAGGCTGCCTGTTTTAGATTGGCAGGAGAATCATCCCATTATAGCCAATAACCAATAAGCAAATAGACTTAAATGCTATGTCATCTAGTGCCAACTCCGGATTAATAAACCATTGTTTATTAATTGTGGGGGTACCCTCCAAATAGTCACAGCCAATGATACATAAATGGTATTCCCCCCCAATTAAACAGCCGTTTGGGGTTTATTAATCCAGGGTTGACATTATACAGTACCTTTTTCCCAATGGACGTCATTGCAGCTCTTTTAGTCTTTTATCAACCAGTAGGTCCTCAAAAGTATTCATGCCCGTTTTGCAGTGGCTACATTGATACTACGAGGAAAAACAACTTTGGGCAGGTCAATTGGTACACAAACAAATTAAACCAGATGGGAATATGATTATATGTTCGATTATGATATGATAAACATGATAAAACAATGATAAATTATATGTATGAAACCCTCTTTCTCATGGTGCAAAAACAAAATAGCCGTCATACCTGGACATTGACCCATCCCTGTCACGACCAGGATGGGAGTCTCAGCCGTCCAAAAGCGCACGCGCCAAGTTCCTTCCAGCGGTCACTTGATGCAAATTGCGAGAAACCCGGAAGCTGACTGGATGTGTTATTTGCAGATAGTGATGGAAATTAGTTTACAATTGTGTTCAGACATGTCTTATATTGTTTTATTCATTTTTTTTTATCAGACACCTTGTTTTGTTTCGGGTAGTAATATGTTCATGGAAAGCCGGAAGTTCAGTTTATGTTTCGGAAATTGGAACACATTTATATAAACAAGAATTTTCCTCAGAAGTCTTTGGATCAGTCTTTTTGGTGTTTGTTGTGTTGCAGAATGGTGCACTATTAAACAGTGTTTGGATCAATCTTTCCTACACTATTAAACACGCCCATTTCTTTTGTGCAGAATGTATATAATTCACCTAGTAAACCATGGTTTTTGGGTTGCTTGCTATTGGAGGAACGGAAATCGAGTTACTCGAGTTTATGTGTTGGAAAGTAAAGGAAGATCATCAGGATAAACGGCGATGTGTCACCAGCGTCATGTAACGAAAAATTGTTTCTCTCCTCGCTGGGTATCCACTGGTTCTGACTTGCCGAATGTGAAGGAACGGATGTTTGGATCCGTTTGGATCCGTTTGGTGGAATCTCGTTTCTTTCCCTTCAAGCTTCATGTTCCATCCTTACTCCTGATTCCGAAGTGCAAACGCAACCACACTAATCACTAATGCCATTTTTCTGCAGGTGACATATTTGGAAGACGAGGTGATCGAGATCGAAGGTCTTAGAGTCTCGAACTCCCATGGATTTCCATATGGTTTTCCCATTTCAATGTCGATGAAATCGATGGGGATCTCCCTATAGCCATGTTTCATTACTGAAGGGTAGGAGAATACTACGGTTGTATTTGAGTTAAAGAAGATTGTCTACGGGCTAAGTAGGGTTAGCCCACTTGTGATGGGCTGAAAAACTTTTCAGCATGTTGGAAGTTATAGCTGATAAGCTATACTAGCTAGGATGAATCGCCAAGTATGTCCAATCTGATGAATTTCTGGCGACATCTGGCAATCTCAAACTTCAGAGCAATGATTCAACATTGCGGACATTTTTTCTTTTTGGCCTTGAATCAAGTGATTGATTTATAACCCATAGGATCCATGTATGCTATATATGGTAACATTTAACATTTACCATCAATATACCCCCAAATGTTAGCATATATACCATACATGGATCCTATGGGTAATGGTTTATGATAAACATTGATAAACTATAAACATATCTGCTTGGGTCAATCTCCGAGACCCAAGAGTTTTAGCAAATAAACATCCCATCATCCCGCTTTCGATCAAGAAAGTCGATTTGGGTACCCTCCGGTAAACTAACGTAGCCATTGAACATGGTCATGTATAGTTGATTTTCCCATTAAAAATGGTGATTTTCCATAGCTATGTTAAATTACCAGAGGGTACAAGGGTTTTGACTCACCGAAGATAGGTAACATGGAGTGATATGAACTGTTCATGATCAATGTGACATAATTTCCCGCAAGCAACTTAGTTGTAAGGCACTCGCAAGGTGGTGAATGACCAGACAGCCTCCCAGGAGTCTATGCGTCGCCATTCACACCCAAATTTTGTGGAGTTTTCCAGTTTCTTAGGCTGAACAAGGGATATATGTCTATAATATATATATATATATTATTATATATTATTATATATTAATATAGTTTTCATGAAGGTTCATTCCTTTTTTCCCCAAGAAAACTTGGAGTTTGATTTCTTCATTCTCATGAAGAAGGGAGACCCCCTTGATCTGGCCGGAGGTAGCATAGGGATGAAGTGGGATGGTCATCTGGGGAATCACCACATGGCCATGGCCATTGATGTGCCGGTCGTTCACTGCTTGGTTTCTACCTTGACAGTTCTTTGTTCCATGGATATGGGTGAACATTTGATGCCTTTCGAACAGGAGATGTGAATCATTGAATCATCGTTTAACAACCCAATGTCGGGAGTACATACTGCAGACCTATACTTGGATGTGCATGCCAGTAGGGTTTCAGAAGTTTGAAAACCATTATCCAACTGGTGATTTCCGTTCATCCAACCGGGTATTCAAATATGTTTTTTATGTGGTGAATAAACAATGCCATAAATAAACCACCCATTTTCCTGGGTTCATGGTAAGTTTATACCACCTACAAAAATTAAGTGATGACTGGTGGATGGTTTATGGCATTGTTTTACCCTTACCTTAGTACATATTACAAGGTGGTGCCCCATAGTTAGATAAGTTGGTTTATAACTCCCATAACTCCCATAACTATGGTTTATGGCAGATATAAGTATAGTTAATGGTGTTTATAAACCAACTTATAACTGGGGGGGCACCATCCTGTAGTAATTAGCCACAATAGCTAACTAGCTGAGATGCCATCCCCAAAGTACTGGATGCATCGTTTGCGAAACTTTGAGGCTGGATGGCCAAAAGGAGGCGGAGGAAAAGTGGTCCTCCATCCCAGAGGATTTGGCCGCTGGGTTTCATGAGGGGATGATATGTCCAGGGCAGTGGCTTTCCTTTCCACATAGAAACCACGGTGCCTTTCCAGAGCAAATCATCACAAATTGGGGGGCTGCCCATTCCCATCTTGGATTACCAGTGAGTCAGAGTGAATACCTGAATTTCTATGTTTCTTGTTTTGCTGAGTATCATCAGCATATGTTTCCTGATTCATGCCAATTTTGTTCAAGTCATCACCAAGTCATCACCAAAAAGTTGCCCCACCGTGGCTGAATGTCACCCTGATTCCGCCGAGGATATCCTGGTTACTCATGGACCACCCTCCGGTATCCTGGACAATGTTGGGCGTGGAATCCATGCTGGCTGTCCTGAGTTGTTGAAGCGCGTGACTCGTCGAGGGGTGGCTGCAAGACACCCCTGGTTGCTTGAGGTTTCTTTGTTTTTTGGGGGGCTGGGTGGATTATAATCCCCTTTACTGGGATGTATTGGGGTTATACTTTATAGACTAGCCTCATATATTGGGCATTATCCTAAAGCTGGATGTTATTCCACGGAACGACGTTACGGGTTTGGAACCCTGTTCATTTGAGTCATGAATTGAAGAGATCGAGCAAGGTGGATAGGGTGGATAGCTGTTGTCTAATGCATTTTGGTAGCCATTGGCTCTGATGAAGATCTATTGATAGAGAAAGCATGCAATCCGCTATAGGCAATCGCAATACTTGAAACATCTAAATGAACTACTGCAGATATTATCGTCAGATATTATCAGTTGCTCAGTGATTCCACACTTTGCATCGTTCTACTTGAAGCCGTCGTGGCGGTCGTCTACTTGGAGTTTCTGAAGATGATGTGTTTTTTTTGTGCTAGTGGCCAATGGTTATGACACCATTTAAGGGCAATCTACTGGATTGTGTCTAATTTATTAATATACAGATATAATGATATAATCTATATATATATTATTATTATGATTTTATTTATTAATCGATGATGCCCTTAAGCAAGTTCAAGTATAGTATATATTCACATTTTATTGCTCCTGCAGGCAATTGCCCAGATGTATTTGCTATGCATTCGATATGTGGGATCAAGACAGTGAAGCCTCAGTATATAGTGGTCCCCTGAAATCATGTGTTTTTTTGTTTTTGTTTTTCCATACTATTTCAATCAAAGATTCTTCACACACTTTGTAAATTTGGCATAGGTGAATTTCCTGGCAAACATACCATTGCACAAACAAAACCTGAAAGTGAAATGGATGGTGAAACTCTGACAGACAGTAATTTAACAACAGCATCTGAAACAACAATCATAGCATGGGGATGCATGATGATGCATGGGGATTGTCACGTATACTCGTCGCTGAAGGTGCAAAGAGTCACGCCTCAATATCACTTCTTTGGACATATACATGAAGATGGCGGCAAACAGCTGAACCTCGTCTTGTTCTGACAGGAGATTATGTGCCGGGGAAGCTGCAGGCTTTTCTTGGTCGTACAATGCAATTCCAACACATGAGTTGCTGTCTGGTAATCCAATTTGGGAATGAAAATGAACATGTCACTTAGATATGAGTTGTCTATAGCATGGAGTGATGTTCTACCACCAGATCATGTGAACTTCCCAGGGCGTTGTTTGTTGCTCCCAGAGGGCACCTGCAATTTTTGGTCACAGTTGAGAGGATCGAGTCCCAGATAGGCAGATAGACCAATGGATGACTGGTTGGACTAATCAATGGATTGATGGCATTGCCTATATGGTTTTAACCATCTTGAAAAAAATATTAGTCAATGGTAAGGATTATCCCATATATGATGGAAAATAAAAAATGTTCCAAACCACCAACCAGAGTTTGTATGATCGACGCTCTTGGAATCTAACTTTGTAATCAAGAGTTCTCCCTTTGACGTCCATGAACATCATTTCAACATGTTTTTTTCCAGAAAGGCACGCTCATAAAATATTCAAAAAAAGGCTCAAAACCCCGTATTTTTGGGGACCTGGTGGCGTCACACTCTCTTTTTTTCCCCATTGCACGTGGCAATTTTCCTTCTTGACCTAGGGTTGCCAACGTCAATTGCTGGCCGGGCTATCCGTATCAGTTGGCCACAGGATCCGGGGGGCCCCGGATCTCAGGACAGAAGGCAGCACAACCTTCGTCAATGCCGCGCAACACGTGATGGTCTTTGACACGGCAGGATTTGCTGAGTCGGCAGGTTTTTGTTTTTTTTTATCCAATGGGAGATCCACTACGACTGGGGAATATGGATCTAACTATATATGGGGCATATATATATATAATATAATATAATATCATATCATTATAATATAATATAATATAATATATTTATAATATAATATAATATAATACAATATAATTATAATATAATATAATATTATATAATATTATATAATATTATATAATATAATATTATATTATAATAAAATATAATATAATATAATATAATATAATATAATAAAATATAATATAATATAATATAATAAAATATAATATAATATAATGTAATATAATATAATATAATATGTTTATAATATAATATAATTTGTTTATAATATAATATAACATAACATAATACAATATAATTTAATATAATATAATATAATATTATAGAATAGAATAGAATATGTTTATAATATAATATAATTTGTTTATAATATAATATAACATAACATAATATAATATAATTTAATATAATATATTATAATATCATATAATAGAATATAATATAATATGTTTATAATATAATATAATTTGTTTATAATATAATATAATATAACATAATATAATATAATTTATTTATAATATAATATAATTTATTTATAATATGATATGATATGTCATATAATATGATATAATAAACTATAATTTGATATAATAAACTATAGTATAATATATATATAATATAATATAATATAATATAATATAATATAATACAATACAATACAATAAAAATATATATATATATTTATCATATATATGTTTGATTTCCTGGTGGGTCCTGAAGCAAATCCAAGGACATCAATGCTGCTGATCGTTCGACGGATCGAGCTGCAAAGGTTTCAAAGAGAGGCAGCTGAGTCATGGTGTTCTCTCAAGGGTAACCACCCAAAGGTCACCCCGCAAGAAATGTTAGGCATTGTACAAAGTGGGGCCCCCAAACGATAACTAAGTTGGTGAACGTAACTCCAATAACTATAGTTTATGGTACGCAAATAACTATATAGTTACTGGGGTTTATAAACCAACAAACATCACTGGGGGGGCCCACATTGTAAGGCCTTATTCATCAGTGATGATCCACCACCATCTGAAAATTTGGATCAGTCGGATTGTGTGATACCTCCCAGGGAGGCCATATAGGGCTATAGCCTTCAACTTCAACAAGAAAGGACTCACAAGCCTAGGATGATCTTGGCCCTGGCACGGGATGGCGCGGGCCTATGGATGATTTTGTACAAAGGAAATTCGATGGAATCAGCAGACACAGCCTGTCCAAAGATGACAGGGATCTTTCGATCTGGTCCAAAAGAGACAGACTGTAGCCATTGCATTTGGCATCATCGGTGAGGCGATGAAACAAGTGATTTCACCGGGGTCATAGCGATGAAGTTGGATTTAACATGATTTAACCATCAATACAAATGGAGATACCGGGGGATATGATCAGTTTGTGATGTACACTGTCGGGATTTCAACCGTGGCTTGCCGAAAAATCTCCCATTCAGTTCGTTGATGTTCCCATTCAAACTTCCACTTCGTTGTTTTCCAAGCTAGCCATGTTGACAGCATTTCTTGATTCTCCCAGCTAAAAGGCTAGCTATGCCATGAGGTCGAGCGCCTTTTGGCAGGGCCATTTAGAAGTGCAGCTGAGACATCACATCACCAATCTCCGTCGAGAGGAGGGGCTGCTTGGGAATGGGGATAAATGGATAAGTTGAAGAAACCACGGGATACCTACAACATATATCAAGATATCATGTAAACCGATTAAATAAGATATATATATATATGGCATTTATACGGCATTTATACGGCATTTTAGTTGAAAATCCTTAGGGGCCATTCCTTTCCCAACGTAGCCAGGGGAAAAAACGGCCATGATCCCATGGCATCCATGATGACCTGCAAAATTTTTTCATCAAAATTAGGATGCACGTTTTCAATGAAATGAAACAATGAAATGCATCATTCTAATCACGTGATTAGGATGCTAACCCCATCTAACATTAGTTTTTGGGGTTAGCATCTCTTTTTGATGAACATGAGTTTGCACGCCACAAGCGAAACAGCAATCGACATTGGGGATTAGCTTTGTTGAAGGCATAGGGCAGTAATTATGGTTCAATTAGATACTTAAATGACCTACTGTATAATGACCTAGATTATAGCGTTGGATGCTTTGACAGCTTAACACTGCCAGTGTCTCCGTTCTTTTGGGAAACTGACAAGACTTAAGTTTCCCACAAGTCCACCAACTTTTGGGGTCGTGTTTGACACACCTGTGACACACCTGACTGGTTGGATCGTGTTGGATGTAGTTTCCCAGTGATACTCTCGGGCAATTCAACAGTTTGCCATAGAAAGCCACCACTGGACACCAGTGTAGACCAGGTCCGTGGGTTCTGAATGGCAGGCTATGTCCCATTCAAACCCATTAAAACGAATTAAACGATATTCTAAGCGCATGAAACATATCATCAAAACCCATTTAAACCCATTATACCATGAACAAATGTCATTCCCACTGAAGTTGTTCGCGGAGTCTGCGCGCCGACAGGACAGAGATCTCTTTTGGGAAGGCATTGAAAGCCTAAAAGGTCGGGACGAAGCATCTTTCGATGGGTTTTTGTACTGACTATTTTTCAAGAGGACTCAGGAGAATGACCCAAGTCACTGACATAATGACAATATTTTATACGAGTTGTTTCTGGTATTTTTGGCACACCTTGAATCACCGTAAAATTGGTAATGTTTTGATGTGCCTTGGGTTTTGTTTAGATGTCATGAATCACCTTAAGCCTTAGCTTTCCGGATCTTTCCAGTATCGAACTTGCAGGAAACCCCCGCTCGCCGCTAGGAGACATCTTCACTGGGTTTGTCACAAAAAGAGTAGCCCAGTCCATCCACTGGTTAATCATTTTGTTCCCATGTTCGAAATGGCCATAATTACGGAATTAATAGATATTAATAGCCCATTTTCAGACAAACCCAAATCATATATGCTATAATTATCATATACTGTATGTATGCTGTATACTGTATACGTATGACATACCATATCATATTCCATTAAGTATCCCCACCATATCTCCATTAAAAGTCCCATCGAATTATATCACCATTCCACCATCTACCCTCTGGTAAACATACAAAAAACTATGGAAAATCACCATTTTTAGTGGGACAATCCACTATAAATGGCCATTTTCAATAGCTATTTTGACATAACCAGAGGGTACAGCACCCCTTCTAACGCAGGCGAAGAGCTCATCGACGTTTGCCGACGCCGAGCCATTCGCTTCCACGGGGTGCGCCGAGGGGCGCCATGGAAACCCCGAAGTTGTCGGCAGCAGGTCTGCGTTATGCGTTTGAAACCATAGGATATAATGGGAAAACCATAGGAAAACAATAGGAAAACCATAGGAAAATGGTGGTTTAATGGGATTTAATGGGATTTACCCTCTGGTTATGACTAACAGTTTGCCATGGAACATGGCCCATAGAAATAGATGGTTTACCTATTAATAGCATGGTGATTTTCCATGTCGAACTGTTAAATAACCAGATGGTAAACATAGTAAACAAATCATCCAACTCAGTTTTTCGTTCATTTCAATCAACTTGTTTTTGTCCATTTTTTCTGGTAAAGTTCAATCCAAGTTTTAGACAGTATCTATATCTAATGTTGGTGAACTCGTGTTCGTTGGTTGATTCGATATCACAGTTTGAGTTGGTGAAGTTCCGCATTTGCTTCGTTGAGTTCCGAGTCTTATTGGTAACATATCACCATTTATGTTGGGTAAGTCGCATGCTTCCGTGCAATGTGGGGCCCCACAGTTGAAATCCAAAGTTTTGTTGATTAAGTCCCCATGCATTGGGTTCCACAGGGTATGTTACTGTTTCTTCATGTCAACGGGGAAACATGGTGTCGAAACCAGGGGGGTTGGGGTATAGTATTGTTTGACAGACACATGTTCACATATCTATTGAACATTGAGATACTATCGCTAAGCTACAATTAAATCAATTATAATGTAATTTTGAATTTGCATGCTGTCGGCATTGGTTAAATCAAATGTTGATTGATTACAACAACTACAACTACAGCAACAACAACAACAACAACTACTACTACTACTACTACTACTACTACTACTACTACTACTACTACTACTACTACTACCTACCTCCCTACCTACCTACCTACCTACCTACCTCCCTACCTGACTCCCTACCCTACCCTACCCTTCCCTACCCTCCCCTACCCCTACCCTACCCTACCCTACCCTACCTACCTACTTCTAATATTCCCAATATTTCCCAATATTTCCCATTCTTCTTGTTAGATGACCATTCTTCTTGTTTGTTATGAATATAACCATGAATGTGTGTTGGCGATTTGTTTGTTTGGTTGAATTCCAAGTCTTGTTGAATTCCTTGGTGCTGAAGATCCACATGTTTGTTCGTTAAAGGCCAGGCATTTATGCAACGTAGTCCTCCCGAAATCCGAAATTTACCAGTTGGCAAAATTTCACCCAATCAACATCAGTCAACTGACAAACATCTCCACCATCAATATCTGGTTGGTGGTTTGGAACATGGCTTTTATTTTCCCCAATAGTTGGGATGATGATCCAATCTGACGAACTCATATTTTTCAGAGGGGTAGGTATACCACCAACCAGATATCTTTACCAATCAGTGATCCGTGAGTTCCAACCCCCCGTTACGGCGTCGTGTCGACGTCGCAGGTCACGGACGAGGAGATGAGGGACGACTTGAATCGTTGGTTGCGGCTCTCTGCCAATCACCGGCAGAGCCTTGACAGACTTCAGTGGGTGGACGAATAAACGTGTTATGTGGGTAAAACAATGCCATGTTTACCATCCATTTGGGAAGGGTAACCATACCACTTGGGAGATGGTTTATTATTAGTTTTACCCACATTAATCCTGGATCTCCTTAGCCACAACCCTTGGAAAGGATAATCACAGACACGATTTTGCCCACAAAACTAACTACATTTGCGAACAGAGTTGACCAAATGAAATCTATATCAACACTGCTGAGCGTCGAAAACTGGTTAGATCAATCTGAAAAGACGGAGCTGTCAAAGTTGAAGAGAGTTGATGATCCCACGTTGCTGAAGGAGAAAACCTGGCACGTTGTTGGAAGAGAAGAGTTCTTAGTATGGATCAGATTGCAAGAAAAACACCATGATTATCCATGATTGACATTATGTGGGGATGTCAAAAACAGCTAGTACACATGTAATGGTTCAATAGTAGTGTTGATTAAACACTACGACAAGAAACAAACCTGGCAATGATTGATTTTATCTTATCCATTTTGAGACTATACTTTCCGTGTTGCGACTTCCCAACTTGCCAGCCACCACCAAAATGCCAATCTCCAAGGGTTCCAACGTCCATGTTGCTCTGGATTCAGTCCTTCTATTTGAGGCAGGAGAGGGTCCAAGAGGATTCAGGGGATAGCAACAAACAGAGGGAGTGGTCGCTGCATATGGCAGCTGGAGGAGCACCCATGGAGTGCCCAGCCTATGGGAACTCTCTGTGCTGCTCGCAGTTTTCTTTACCCTTGTCTGACGGATCCGAATAAGTTCGGCAAATTGATCCAAATTGATTGATCTTCACGGACAACTGGTTGGTGGTTTGGAACATCGTTTTGTTTTTACATATATTGGGAATAATCATCCCACCTGACTAATATTCAGAGGGGTAGGTATACCACCAACCACACAACTTAAACAGAAACTCAAGATTTTACATCCTAGGTCCTGGAGTTCGACCATAGATCCAAAAGGACAGGTTTTCTTTGGCACCACTTGAGTCGCTGGGGAGTTTTGATGAGTTTTGGTCCTGCTTGATCTCCTGTGGCTGACATCTTGCAATGGATGTCTTGGTGGTACTCCTCAGCAAAAATCAGAAAACATACAGTATTAATGAGAATGTTTTTCTGGGCACCAAATATGTTTTTCTAATATTTTCTAATGTTTTATATGATTTTGGAGAAAGCAATGAATGTCCTAAAATCTGGGTGTACCGGGTACCCCAAAATCATCCTTTTTGGGACGGGATTTTCCATGAAAGAAACCATCCAGCTATCGAGGTACCATGGATCATTTTCCAAGGGAAACCCATGAACCGCAGGGTATCCCTGTTGGTAAAGATTACACCCCCTGGTAAACAAACAGTTTGCTATTGAAAATGGCCATTTATAGTTGATTTACGCATTAAAAATGGTGATTTTCCATACTTATGTTAGTTTACCAGAGGGTAATTTGTACATGTGAATTTCTGTTTTATATTTCCTCCGTTGGTTTCAAAGGTATGGGGATTGGTCAACATACGGCAGCCCAATAGCACTAAAGAATACTAAAGCATCCATTCTGGGTATATGACCCATGCCCAGATCCTTGGTGTTGATATCCTACAGCTACCATGCGCCCCATGCACCCTGGCTGCGCTGCGCAGGGATCGCACAGAGGATGAGTCAAGTACTGAAGCCCTGAAGTTGAAGGTTCAGGAGTCCCAGATGGATGATCCTCATGTTGAAGTGGCAATGCTTGAGGTTCTTTTCTGTGGCGACTTGTTGTTGTGCATTTGTCCTTGCTGTTGTTGTCGTCGTTGTTGTTGTTCTTGCTGCTGTTGTTGTTGTTGTTGTTGCAGTATTGTATCTGTATTTGTATCTGTATTTGTATGTATATCACCAGTTTTGTTGTTGTATCCCCACGATGATTTATTTGTTTATTTCAATATATCATTTCCATAAAGTGAATGGTCATATGATAGAAGGCTTGTTCCAGATGGATGTTCTTGCCGTTCATGGGCTTCCGGCTTCAGGAGCAAGAGGTCATTGAAAATCCTGAAGAAGCTTTCCTGAGCTTCGCAGAGCGGCAGAAGGCGACTTCTATCATGAAAAATGCATTGGTTTAAAGGAAACTCTAAGGGAAAGCATGGGAAAGCATAGTTTTCCTCGCAGTTTGATGGTTTCTGATGATTTTTTTTCTGTACATTCCATCTGGAATCTATGAAATCAGATCACGACGTTTATCAGGTATTTTTAAGGTGATTGCATTTATAAAGGGGAATAGTTTCAGCTCTCTGAGTATCCCATCGGCTTGATGTTGAGAACGTGCTGTTCCATGCTATCAATGGCCCAATGGCAATCTTCAGGGATGGATAGCTTGACGATGGGAACGTTCTGTTGAGACCATTTGGATGGGTTTTTGTTTTTAAAAACGCCGTTTGCAGATGGAGTTTTATATATGGCTATGGATCAATACCTATACATACCATTTTTAGGGGGATGAACATCCATTTACCAGCTATTTTGATGTTCACCAGTAGGGTTTTGACCCATCCCCATATCATGGCATTTCATGACCGCATTCGAATGGTTCTGCAGGGATGTTTGGCTACAGTAGAACAGAGGATTTGGAGGTAAATGCATGAGCGTACCAGTCAATTTGTATATATATTATATTATATTATATTATATTGTATTATAAATTTGTATATATATATATATATTGGGTATGTACTAGTTTTACCCTACTTGTTCCTTGTTTCTCCTCACATGAAGAGTTGATCCGACATGGCGCTAGGAAGCGGTCGACAAGATGCAGCAGAAGTTGGAGGATTTGCAACGTGAAATCACTGAAGTCACGGAGCAAAACCAGGACGCGGACCGTGGGATCTGTGGTGAGTTGGTCGGAGATGATGGGGGATACCCTCTACAAAGTGGGGCCCCCTAGATAGCTAAATTGGTGAAAGTAACTCCAATAACTATGGTTTATAGTACTTATAACTATAGTTACTGGGGTTTATAGACCAACTTATAACTGGGGGGCCTCACATTGTAGAAAAAACAGATGGGAAAGATACCCACCATGCTTTTAATGGGTAAATCAACGAACTAACCATGGACAATATCCTGATTGGTGGTGACTGGAACCATGGAATTTGATTAGACTTTCCATAAAAAGTTGGGAATTTCATCATCCCAACTGACGAACTCCATGATTTTTCAGAGGGGTAGGTATACCACCAACCAGATGATCACTGAAGGCAGGAAGTAATACTAAGTATTGTTGGATATAATTGGTAAGTGGAGTCTATCCCGCTATATCCGAGTCACAAGTGGTTATGATACGTTAGTACCTCTACTAGGGATATATCGGTGGAAGAATGATGGTCCGATGCTCAGCATGTATGTCGCACATATTTTGCATTCAAGTTCAGTTGAGTCATCAGTTTATCGCCATCTGACACTTCAGAATGGTTGTGAAGTATAGCAAAGGGACATAATTTCCATTAAAACATAGTTAATATGTCCATTAAAGCATAATCCATTAAAACTATATTTTATAGCCAGAATGGCTTCCTTTTTGGCTTCTGGGACTGAGTCTGTATAGAAATACCGGTAGTATTCTGGTTGATTCTATCCCGTTCTGGTTGAAGTACATCCAGAGCCGAGCCGTCCGGTTAGTCCAGATTTGTATATTGCTTGCTGGTTGTTTGTGTCAGATTTCTATCGATATTTGCTGCTTTTGTGTTGTCTTCCGATGGATGATGGTAAGTTGTGGTCGATTGGAATCCCAGCATGTCTCACTATTATTGGTTGCTTCTAACACCGTTTTAAAGCATTCCGTGATGTGTGGTTGTTACTGTACTGTTGCATGTCGTTTTGTTGGTGTTGTAATATATACATGCAGAGTACATATAGAATATAGTGATATAACATGTAGTTTTATAATATATATATGTATATTATGTCTATGTATAAATTCATCTAATATGTATATGCCATTTTCCATTCAAGGCATAATGATTCCTGACGAGCACATGGTTCAGGAAGGGGTGCTTCAACCCCACAGGACGTCTTGAATGAAGCGAGCGAAGTCGCAGCCCCACAGCGTGCGGATGGTGCTTTAGAGGCGGGAGGTGTGCTGGAGTTGGTTGAGAGATGAGGAGATGGTTGGTTTAATCAGATTTACTGGTATTTAGTTAGCTTTATCATGGGATATAACCAACCAAGTTGATATGACACTTACATACACTTACCCTCTGGTAGTTTAACATAGCTATGGAAAATCACCATTTTTAATGGGTAAATCCACTATAAATGGCCATTTTCAATAGCTATGTTAGTGGTCTGGAACTGTGGGATACCCTAATTATCCCTAATCCAATAGACTCATCATGAAACGAAGGAACTATAATGATGGTGGCCTTGAATTTTGACGTCTGATCACCCAGAAGGGGAAGCAGCCTCTCATGGCTGATTCAAAGGCAAAATAAAAACACACGCACTATACTTGTTCTATCATGGCAAATACATTATGTATGCATATATGTATTATATATATAATGTATATATATATATATATATGTATATATATATATATATTATGTATATGTATATATATATTATTATATATTATGTATATATGTCTATATTATGTATATATATATATATATGTATAGGTTTAACCTAATGGCATCATATCAGTGTCATGACACTTGTTGCATTCTCAAAAGCCTCAGGGTGCCAACGCCGTGCTGTTCTGCTAAGGCCTGCGCCAACTGTGGGCATATGCTGCAGGCGGATTCCGTCTATTGCCGCAAGTGTGGCCACAAGAGAGAGCAGGCGCGTTTAAAACACTTGGGACGGGACTCTGGAAGGTTTGAGTCAACAGATTTGGGAACTCAGATGATGTTAGATACCCTGAGTTCCCATGGTAATGATATGTAATGATACCCCAACACTAAAAAAATGGCTCCGCATGTCGCATGGTGGTGATTGTTGGAGTCCCCGGGGCTTATACCAGTGTAACCAGACCCAAAACAGTACAAGAAAGTACATGGCCAGACATCTGAAAAACCGCTGAACCCGGATCGGAAATTAGTTAGGGCCCGGGCCCTGAAACGTGAATTTTGGAGCCCAGCTATGTTGGTTGGCTCAGTCAGGCAATGTCAGATGCAAAGAGGGGGACTGCAAGCTGCACGCCAGCTTAATTGCCGTGGAATGAGTTTTTTTGATACCCGAAGCATCCCCAAAACAACAAGTCTTATAAAGATTCACACAAACATGACTGGTCTGTTGTGGTTTCATGACTGGTTTCGTTGGCTTCATATGTTTCCCCAAATTTGTGACTGGAATGAATCCAAAATTTTAGCAGACTTTCCAGCTGAAATCGCCATGATGCAAGCTCTGACTGGCACCATCTTTATAATGGAACCCATTATTTGCACATCTTGGATTGGATTTAATCCATTTCAGGCTCGTGAGCAATGCATATCTTGGTCTCGAAATGACCACCCTACCCCCAGAAAGTGTGAGTTTTAAGGCCTTACCATCTGGTTATTTAACATAGCAATGGAAAATCACAATTTTTAATGGGTAAATCCTCTATAAATGGCAATTTTCAAGTTCGCAAACTGTTAGTTTACCAGGCCGGGTAAGGCCTCACATCATTCTAACTTGGGCCTTTTCAGTGGCCCTGAATCAGGCAGATCTGGACTACGACGACCCTGAAGGAGAGAAGAGGTGCCGGGAAAACCTTTGGGGAACCGTTGAAAGGGTTGATGGAGCTGGAGGATGGGTGAAACGAGAATGAAAATCTGGGCACCTTGTGGAAACATGGATTCACTTTTGGCATTGCTTGGTTCATGATACAGTCTGATACAGTGTATTTGGATCATACTTTGCGGATCGTAGCAATGGTAAGCAATCATATTTATGACTAGAAGAAATACACTTAACTTGGGTAATCATATTATGACAAGTATGATTTCATCTATGGTCCCTATAGGTCTTTTTGTTGATGCGTGGCTTACGCTTCTCCTTTCTCGGGCGGAACTCGGGAATCGACTGAGGCGGATGCTGCAGATCTTACGAAAGGTCGAGGAGGCCAGGTCCAAGCCGAAGACGTCGTATGGAACAGCTGGATGGTGAAGAACCACTGATGGAATTTCTTTGGCGACCTTTAAATGGTGACCTTCAAATGGTGAGGTGACATATATTCTGATTTCTCCAGTGTGCTGAGAGTGGTTTTAGAACCTATAGAATGGAAAGATACGTTACTTAGAAACTTGAGTTAAGATGGTGCCAGGCTGTTGAGTTCAAGGTGGATACATAGATATCTGTAGTTCGACGTTTCATTTTTGTTTCCTATCTAGCAACTTCTAAATGGAAGGGGGGTTACATACACATATCCTCGATATCCATTCATTGTTAAATTACTACTGTTTCGTTTTTTGATGAAGCGCCCACCCCAGAACTCTTGGGAAGCGCCCATGTGTGGCTCAGACTGGAACCCAAACCAATAAAACGGCTTTTAAACGTTCTTTAAGCACTCATTCAACAAAAGGTGTCTGAACATGCCCATATGCTCCATGGTGCTGGAATATTTACCAACATTTGCCCGAACCAAATCACCCAGTTTTGTGAGTAAATATACCAGCACCATGGTTCGCATATGGGATGATCCAAGCAAACCAATCAGTTAAACCAACACATAGCGTGCAGGACTTGGACCTCTACAAGCAGGTGGTCCAGAAGCAGCGCTCCATGATGGAGCGTCAACTCAGGCTGGGTAGGTAGTTTGTTGTTACAATGTTTGATTGGGCGAAATCCTATCTATGTCAATCTATGTCACTATGTCAAAATCTCCTGATGTGGTGATCTATTTCAGTGTGCCAGATATTGGACCGCTGGTGACCAGGTATTTGTTCTCCATGCGCGATACCACCCCTACGTGCCAGAAGGACACTGCCGTTGGGACTGTTGGGCTCTCGCGGATGCAAACCTGCTTCCATTTGCTTCCCCAGCAGCCCAGCAGTCCCCGAGTTCAGGTCTTGCTCCAAAGATGGTTGCATTGAAATTTGCCTCTTCCAGCAACGGCAAAAGGCAGCAAACTGAAAGTTGTGCTTCCTCATGTGATGATTTTGATGATGATTTTTAAATGGAGAGGAACATTCGATATATAGGAACTCGCTGTTTTTCAGGGAAAGCGGAGTGCAGCAAGAGGCAGCTAGGTAGATCAATTTCCGAGTTGGTTTGGTTTCATAGACTCATATTGCAAGGAATCTCTTCTATAGTGTGTTTGTTTCAGGGTAATATCCATGGTTGGTGGACCAGGATTGAAATATGTTCTACTTTCAAAGTCCCATCAATCTCATGTGTCTATTTCCATTAATACCATGAAATCCCCATTGATATTCTATGTATATCCCATTAAACACAATCGTTTTGGGATGTTTTGGGTGATCATGATCCCCAATGATTAGGATTCCTTCGGGACACCACAGAAAGCACCGGGCTGGCAGGATGCAGATGTGATCCTCCTGGATCAACGTGTCAGGCTTTTGGTCGCTCGGCCGTCCGAGAGGGGAGCTGGGTACCGGCATCAGAATGATAGCCACGGATTGAAATGATCGTCATTTTCCCTCTACCCTCTGGTTATGACTAACATAGCCATGGAAAATCACCATGGCCCATAGAAATAGATGGTTTACCGTTCTTAAAAATGGTGATTTTCCATGGCTATGTTAAATAACCAGAGGGTACCCAATTTACCTCTATGTTTAGAGGAAACTGGAAGCCATAGCCTGGAGATGGTTGAATTTTCCAATCTTTGGCTCAGATTCTTCTAAGTCTACAGGGTGGTGCCCCCAAGATAGCTAAGTTGGTTTATAACTCCAATAACTATGGTTTATAGGTGTTATATCTATAGTTAATGGGGTTTATAAACCAACTTATAACTGGGGGGCACCACCTTGTATGTTTAACTCTGGGCCGTTTGGAGCAATTGCCTGCAATTCAAATGGGTGAGCCTGTGCTATGGGGGACTTGTGATCACCATGGATAACTATACTGTTCGTATGGACAGCCATGAAATTGCCACGGCTTTGGGGGAAAATGGTCTGGGACATCTGAAAAAAAACCCTGGAATCATCACCATGTGACCATGTTGATCAACAACGGCCATTTGCCACTGGAAAACACATCATCAAGATCCACGTGTTTGGCTTTTCAAGCTGATTCTCACGGGGGAACTCGCTGAATTTGTGCTGTATGTTTGGCTATCCTGAAGTATATGAACCTGTGTGTAGGCAGATACATACCATATCCATCTAATTACATCATTCCTTATATTTTATTTGTGTTCAGTCTATTCACAAAAAAAAACATCACTCCATTCATGATAGTAATATCATTCATAGTATAACTATATATTATATATGTATATGTATATTATCCATGTAAAATGTATGTATATATATAGTATTTGATACATGATAGATGCAAAAAGCACTGCCGGATGAACAGCTCCAAGGAGATGATCGGCTCGTTTCAGCAAAACGCTGAGGTGTGACTGGTGACTGGGAGTAGATTCGGCTAAGGGACGACTTTGTCAAAATGTGGATCTCAATCCCCGTTACATAGCTATTGAAAATGGCCATTTATAGTGGATTTTCCCATTAAACATGGTGATTTTCCATAGTTATGTTAGTTTACCAGAGGGTATATTTCCCCTGCCAGTTATAAGTTGGTTGAAATAACCCCAGTAACTATAGTTACCATAAACCATAGTGAAATTGGAGTTACGTTCACCAATTTGGCTATCGTAAACGGGGGCCCCACTCTAAGCATCATATTTCCATTTTTGAAAAACATGATATAAAATGGGATTGATATAATGTGATACATTGGTATAACATGTTTTTTCTTTGAACATGGTTGATATAATTGGAAATTAATGAGATATGGGCATATCATAGGATATCATCTGGATAAAACCGACGACCTGCTGCCACGACGTCACTGGAGTGATAGCCAGACTTTTCAGGCTATCTATTTCGGCATCTGCTTGTCAATTGACATGACCGCATATGTGGACATTAATTGCAAACAAGAAAAGAAGTAGGTGTTGGGACAGGTTTGATTTGTGTTTGTTTAAACTGCTATGCATATGTTGTCCCAGTAATGAGCATTACTAGGTAGATGTTGTCAATGCAAGTGGCTGTTAATGGAAAAATGTAGATGTGGAAAAGCTAAGGTTCCCCAGATTTCCTTGGGAAAATCATCTACCAATGGTTGATGTTCCACATCTAAAAAACCGTTGATCTCGTGGGTATCTACCCAAATCTACCGCAGGAGATTGATCAGCTCTTCAACGACAAGGTCTCTAAGGAGCGGCAGGTGATCAGCCAAAACTGGAGATTTAACTGGTAAGTGAATACTCATTATATAATATTAGTGATTATTAGTGAATATTAGAGAATGTTAGTGAAGTTTCTATAGTTTCTATATATTTCTATATGTTTCTATAATACTACTGTGGATGTTTGCGAAATCCGATAAACCACCAAAAAGGCTGGTCGAAAGCCTATAAATGATGGGATAAACCAGCTATCAACTGGTGCAGGATTTCTTCCATTCACTGTAGCTATTGAACAAATGGTTCATTCACAGTTGATTTCCCCTTTCCAAATGGTGATAACTTCCATAGCTATGTTAGTTTAGTAAAGGGTGTATAATATATATATATATAGTCAAGTTGGTTTGTATAGGACTCTGATGGTTTCTGTTTTAAATCAATCTATGATATTCTGTGATGACTGCTAAATTGGTGTGTAGCTATGCCAACTAGGATTTGTGGTGGATATATCTACAGTTGGATGGGCTGTTTAATGATTTGTGGTGAACGAAAACCTCAAAACACATCAGCCATGTGTCAGATCATTGGATACCCGGTACAACCAACAGGAATGCCTTTGTTGACTACTGAAACAAATGTTGCCCTTGTCTTGGGTATACATATGCCAAATTACATTGTCGGCAATCATTTTCCCATTTCAATGGCTACTTGTCTAGGAAAATCCTGGATGGGTAGTTGAATGAACCCCTGCATCTTTCAAAACAATGGGAACGTATTTCAACAAGCCTAAATCATATGATATTGATTTTGGATGATTTTTGTCTGTTCCCATCTTTACGGGGTCAACTCAAGGTTGAGGTAGTCACATAACTGGCCAAAAGACATGGATACGTGTGAGAACTCGACTTAAGGGACTATAACTATGGCTTACCGTAGATATATCCACAGATGGCTGAGCACAAACCAACAAGCATTTGATGTTTGGGGGGCACTACTAGTTAACAGAAATTTAGTTTGCAATTCCCATTTATAGATGTGTTTCCACTAAAGTGTGATAGTAGATCAGATCATTTACTAATAATTGGATTCCCATGGTGGAAAAGAAATCGATGGGTTTTGAATAATGACTTGTTTCTACGGGATTTGGTGGACAGTTTAATTTCTCATTTATAGAGATCCCATTAAATCCCATTAAATCCCATGGCTTTGATACAGGTCACCCTTATCTGCGTTGGAACCAACCTCCCCCGACACAGGAAGCGGAGACTGTGGTCTCCTCGAGTGTGTGGGACGACTATGATCTGCCAGGTGAGATCAAGGGGACTTCATGGGGCTTGATGAGATTTCACCAGGGAAAATGGTGATATACTTTGGATTGAATGGAATTGAATGGGATCTAGAATATGAATATAATTACCCTCTGGTAAATAAACATAGACCCTGAAAATAACATATTTTTAATGGAAACTAATCTTCCAACCCCTATCTGCCAGGGTCTATGTTAATTTATTGGAGGGTACCATTAATGGATCTTGAATATGAATATGGAATCTGATGGGATCCATTAATGGTAATCCCAGAGGTTGGTGATAAAACCAGTCCCCAATTCTCCATGGTCTCCATGGATGCTTTTGTTTTTTCCCAAATTTACCCCAAAGAAATATGACATACCCTCTGGTAAACTAACATAACTATGGAAAATCACCATTTTCAATGGGAAAATCCACTATAAATGGTCATTTTCAATAGCTATGTTAAATTACCAGAGGGTAAATGTAGGTAAATATTCTGCAAATGGAGCATATGGGAAGTAGAATGGGGACGCATTGGACAATATAGCTGTGCCAGTTTGATAGGGAACTGTATGCGGAAACATTGAGGTATATTGCATTTAATGTTTAATGATAGAAATTGTGGTCAACACTACACTTACTAGTAGGATTGGTTTGCTGAACATCTAGCGGTCGATGCTGGCAGATGCGGCATGTTTGCATTCCAATTTCAAATGTTGACAGGGCAACCCCAGAGCAAAGCCCTCATTAAACTGGGGTAGATGGTTTTCGCATCCAATGGAATCTTATCAAGAACGGGATGAAGGAGGATATCAATGTTCACTCCGCCGCATTGTTGGCGAATTTCTTCGAGGATAAATGATCTTGCAGTCTTTCATTTGACGGCTACATTCACAATGGATCATCACTGATTTGCAAAATCCAAAAAATATATTGATGCCATCAATCCACATCGACAGGGCAAACCCGAACTCCATGAACATTCTAAGGATTGAACTACCTGTACTGCCTTGAGACCTTGACATACCCAAATTAGCCCAAATTTGAGATTATTAATCAGTTCCTATTGTTTACAGCCACCAAATCCTGTTCAACCGAACACCAGATAGTTCTGGATCCCATGACTTTCTGGATACGATTTCAAGACCAGAAATCCATCACTTTTGAAGATTGAAAAATATACAGTCATCCCAGAACCAGATGAGCTTGAATCCCTACAATGAGGGGTCCCCCAGTTGTACTTGTTGGTTTATAACTCCCATGAACTATAGTTACAAGTATCATAAACCATACTTATTGGAGTTATGTGGCCCCCAACTTATATATAAATCAGCTATGAATCTCATGAAAATCAGCATGTTCAAAGATGATTTTCCTAGGGTTCCACCAACTTAGCTGCCAGGTGAGCCGAGCCGGACCACAGAAGATAGGCGTGGCGGCGTGGGCTGGTTTCGAAGTGGGTGAACTGGGTGAAATGCTGGATACCCTCTGGTCAACTAACATAGCTATTGAAAATGGCCATTTATAGTGGATTTTCCCATTAAAAATGGTGATTTTCCATAGCTATGTTAAATTACCAGAGGGTATGTCCAATAATTCGTGCAAGGTGGGGTCGTATCTATAGTTTATGGGGATTATAAACCAACATATAACTAGGGGGGTACCGCCTTGCGGGGATTATGATTTCCAATGGTGGCCTGGCCTTCTGGTAATTTAAGAGTTTGCAGTTGAACACTGCCCATGTAGTTCGATGATTTACCAGACTACAAATGGTGATTTTCCAGTTCAAATTAAGCTACCGGAAGGGATCTGTAACCTAACGTCATTTAAGTGCTATAGTCAAAAACATAAACATATTATTGTATTGGAGATAGTCATCTATTGGCGGGGATTCATGCCCCCCACAGGAATTCCAAGTGGTGGGACGGACGACCATAAACCACCATGTGTCGGCCATTGGAATAGCACCGAGAGGAGGTGAGCAGCATCAAGTTGACCGACGTCCCTTGTTTCTTCAATGAAGTCACCAGTCACCTGAAATCAGTAAATTAAAAAACCGGCAAGCTTTGGAGCCGGCAAAGCCAACAAGATCTACAACTAATTTTGAGATAGCAAACCTATTTTTGGGCATCATCCAGTATCCCATGTTTGAATTCACTCTCCAGTACGTTTCCCCAAGAGAAAAAAATGGGTTTTCCATATCCTCATAAATGTACGGGAGAGTACACTTACGGTCTACCGTGAATTTTGTGCATGCTCAACATGCTGGTACTGTGAAAGGGGTCCCCAAAACCCCATGGTTTGAATCATTTTCCCAGTCCAGCCTGTTGCCGTTTTACAGGATCCCCATGTCACTGAGTTTCAAGTTGCTGTGTTTTGTAAGCCACCATCATAAACAACTGCAGATATATCATGTAAGCCTATAGTTGTAGTTATATACTCAGTTACCCACTGTGGTAAACCTATAATAAATCATCCCCCAAATCTTCATACATGGGCGAGATAAACCTACCATTCCTAGATGGTAGGTTTATCATCGGGTTTTCCCACATCAATGTAAACAGTTGTATTTTCAACAGATACATGGGGATATTTGTTTGTTTCCTAGTTGTAGATATTCCCTATCATCCAACTTTAGATATACATATATATATACATAGAATATATATATATATGTATATATATATATAGATATATCAGCTAAGTTACATGTTGCCTACTGTAAAGGGTGTCCCCCCCATTTTGGGACGAAACCTCGCATGATCCCTGCCACCGTGCCATGAGTGCCAGGGCCTCCAGAGCCTCCAGTCCCCCGTGATGCGCCATGTTGACACCCCGCTGGGTCAACAGCGATGTGACAATTCGTACAGTTATGGCCATTTATTAGTTAAAACTTGCTATGTTTATGGGATTAAACATTCTATAAATGGGGAATTATTAGTTCTAAATGGTTATAAATGGGATTATACATTCTATAAATGGGGTGACTTGTTAGTACTTATAACTAGTATTTTGGGCCATACATACACCTTTCACAAATCGGTGTTGGAGTGGTCTCCAAGCCATTGAAAAAAGATGAAATAGCCATATGACATCCATACATAGCCTCCGGGAAACTAACATAACTATGGAGCATCACCATTTTTGATAGGTAAATCAACAAACTTTCTGAGGCCATGTTCAATAGCAAACTGTTAGTTTACCAGAGGGTATATGATTGGTGATGATGAGTTCATCCGCACAAAGCCAAGGCCCCAAGGCTCTCTGGTTCATCCGCTTAATCCATCACTTCTGCACCTTTGGCATCATCGGACATCAGCAGATTTGGACACCATTGAAATCTATCATCATCCATCATTGAACCCAAAGAAGCTGTCATAATTGGTTTCCATGTAAGAGGTGAAGGTTAAATATTGTTTAAAAAACAATGTGGTAAAGCCAATACTAGTTACCCGACCATCCAAACTTTACCAGAAATGGGTCTTCAAAACCATCCCTAGTTGGGGTTTGTGTTATTGGGTTTACCTTAAGAATTCTTTTCAACTAAAGGCTCTCTTCCAATCCAAGAATGGGTTTCAATATACTGTGACATGCTTTGCCGATTGCAAGATGTTATAAGTCCACGGAAGAGATTTTTCGCACATGTAAGCAAGGAAGGAAGCCATCTCGGGGCATTTTTTGGAGCATGGGAGGGATGTCTCTAGGTAATCCAGTAGGAACCCTGGTGACCCTCTCGGGGGCGTTGCGAGATCCAGCGTGACCCAGAGTGAACCTTCAATATCCAGCCGGACGATATTGCTTGGAGGTCTCCAAGGGATTTGAGTTACATGATCGAGAAACAAAGTATGTCCATTACATGCTTTGATTTCTAGAATATGTTTTGACCGCGTGATTCATTGAAATTTGTTGCTGATTATTTGATCAATTTATTTTTGTTAAAATCATGTCTGTTCCGGGGTGAGCACCAACACCCTATAACCTATATGGTGACAAAACATGATTCAACTCACATTATCGGAAAGATCATCAGCACCTTCTGCTCATTCACTGGTTCTCCGACCCAAACTCATACTTACTGGAGCTGCAACATATCCCTTAGGACCAAGTCTATACATTCAAAACATATCATGTACATATCATACAGTGTTGTTGCATTGACTTACGGCATTACGAACTCTTCGGTTTGAGGTTCACAGACACCATCAGTACAGGCCCAGAGGTTGGGTTTTTCATCGTTTCACAGTTGGCAGGTGCAGAGAGATTCTGCGGTGACACCAACTGCTTCCATTAAACAAACCCTGGCACAGCTCCCATGCTTGGTGAAAGAAATCGCTTGAGAAGTAAAACGTGCTCTGCTGGTCGCGGGTTTGCTTGAGGCTGTTTTAAATTTGTGCGATGCTGCGGCAGTGTTTCAGGGACAATCTGACAATCTGACAATCTACACGAACTTGTTTGGTAAACCAATATGGAGGTGTCCTGAAATAGGGGTACCCCAAATTCAGTCTATTTTCGGATTTTCAAACATAAACCATGCAGCCATTGGAGTAACCCCCATGAGTTAGGAGACCACCAATGAGGCAAATGCTCTGGTGGATCCACTTGGAGGTCAGTTACTTACGTAAAAATGACATCCCATCCCTCCAAAAACTTTTTTTTCAGCAGGGAATTGACACATCTCTGGAACCATGTAAGGCCTATAAATGTAAGGGCTGTAAGGGGGTATTTAATATATTTTAATACCCCATGACGGATCCGGCTGGTGCTGGTATATTGATGCTAACATGACTGGGGTATATTGATGGGATCCATGTCACACCATATATAGCAGCACCATGGATCCTATGGGTATTAGGCCATGGGATTGAAGGAATCGAAAACTACTGTCTCAGACACAAAAACCCTCGCTTCTTGAGACGTTGAAGAGACAGGGTCAGTGAGTCAGCAGCGTAGTGGCGCTTCCCCACAGTGATGAAGTAAATGTATTTCTTGAGATTTATTGGATTTATTGGTGTGAGATTGGTACATCGGTCAACAGGATGGTGCCCTCCCCCAGTTATGTTTGTTGCTCAATAAACCCCATTAACTAGTTCATTATATATCATGTTATATAACTAGTTCGTTTTATCAATGTTATATCTGCCATAAACCATAGAATTCAGCCATGTCTCTCGCTCGACTGTATTCCCCATGTATTTTGGGATGACCGGCACTGTCCTCAGGCTCCACGGTAGAGTCGTAACCCCTTAATATATCCCTAGTATTCCCAAGTAATGCTGCGGATGGGATATTTCTGGTTGGTGGTGACTGGAACCATATGGAATTTTATGACTTTTCATATATTGTGAATGTCATCATCCCAAGTGACGAACCTATATTTTTCAGAGGGATTGAAACCACCAACCAGATTTTTTTGATATGCTAAACCCAATAATGAAGAAATTGGATTTGACCAGTTGAGCCAGGGGTTATCATCAGCGATCGACTACACTGACTATACCACAAAAAAGTCGTTGATCCTACCAATCAATCCATTTTTACTAAGGGCTTGAAGGTTAGTACAAGTATAAGAGTTGCCATGTTCCCAACCGGTTTGTATTATGTTTGTCATTTTTTGTCATTCTCGGTATTGGGCTCACCACAAACAAGATGCATGGCTCATTCAGCCCCTACATTCTTCCACCAGGGGCATTGCTGGAAGATCCAAAGGAATCTTCCTCTTTCGAATAGATTTGACATGATTTTACATCATGTAGACCCTGTGGTAAACTAACATAAATATGGAAAATCACCATGTTTAATAGGTAAATCAACTATAAATGGGCTATTTTCAATAGCTATGTTAAATTACCAGAGGGTACATGATTTTACATCATGTGGTAACCCGGCTTTGTTTGGCTACAATTTGCATGTATCAGTAAAAAGTGGATCAGTTTTTTTTTTAGTCTCCATCTCCCCTTTTTCTCTTCGCCGCATGAATCATATTTTTCTATCATGTGCACAAGGTGGTAACCCCATAGTTATAAGTTGGTTTATAAAATCCCCATTAACCGTAGATACAACCCCCGAATCAACCCTAGATATTGGACTTATAAACCAACTTATCTAACGAACTGGCGCACCACTGCACCTTGCACATCTCCATCCCAGCACCCCCGAGGATGTCATGGCGCTCCCTAGGTACAACGAAGAAGCGCGCGTCAAAGAGGTGATGCCTTTGGCTCCCAACCATAAATCGATGGGCCCTGGGGATATGGGGGTTTCCTAACTTACTGGTGCTTAGTAGGGAATGGATGGGAATGGGGAATAAAGTTTGATCGCGACCTCACTGCCGTGTCACTATAAAATACTATAAATGATTCTCATTGTAAGGGAAACCATATCCGAAATGATAAAAACATATTTCAGGCCGCTTAGCTGATCAGACCTTTTCGATGTGCATGTGGTAACCTTCTGTAGGTATGTTTGAAGGCTGGTTTTCTCTTAAATCCAATAGTTGGTTGCATGTCTTGCGGGAAAACAAAACACATGATATACCCAATGGTTTGACGGATTCAGATATTAGACTGGCTGAATATCTGATCATGGTTCCATATTTATATTCTATTGTTTGGTGAATATATTTCAATATTTCGGCAAAGCTGTTTTAGACATTTGAACATTATACAGCATATACATGTGTTATTTTTTTCAGATGACACAATCCATCCGCGATTATGTATTTAAGAAACGGAATTGCCATAATTGCTTTCGTAGGTGATATTTTGAGATGATAGTGATAGTACCCATATTAAATATATATATATATATATATGTATAGATACATGTCATTCACGGCTATATTATAGGTGATACTATCCAGCATTTGTTCAAATGATAAAGAATGACCTATGTGTATCTATGTATATAATGTAATATTTACTGTACTAAACTATAATTATAGTATACTATATCACTGCTACGATATCATTGTTCTTAGTATATCACTGTTATAGTATATTATTGTGAGTATATCATATACTATCCCTCGGCATACACCATTGTTTCATCATTGCTTTCCATCAAAGCTACGCCAGATGTTTGCTCAGCTGGACATCAGGGGTCGAGGCCAACTGCTGTGGGCAAAGTGAATGGGTTCATAGGTTGCTTTCATTATTCAATGGCCATTTCAGGAAGGAACCTACCGTAAATTTGAGCTACCTACCACATATAAGTTATAAGGCCTATGTAAGGGCTATGTAAGGGGATATATCCCCAATATGGTACAGTAATTATGGACATTTAGGCCATTCTTGGATATTCTTGGTTGATCGGATTTGTTATTTACCACTTTGATTTCAAAACAGACTAGAGAGATCTAACAAGCTAAGAATCACGCTTTGTTTGTAGGTAGTTTTAGCAGGTTTTAGGCAGGTTTAGCCATGTATGAAGCAAAGTCAATGGACAAAAATCAACATCATCAATCAACGGTATCAATTACAGGACCCTGGCCCCGGTGGCTTGCTGTGGATTTCTTGGCTCAAAAAGACTTGACAGAAAATACGGTAATGATTGTTCGTTTCAACCTGAAATAAATCTATGTAGACATTAACAAAAATAACTAGATAACACTTGTTTGAATTTGAAGATCATGATGGTGCAATCGCAGGATCGATCTTGTTTTTTAAATGACACTAATATAGTGGGTATAGCCCTAAGTTCCAAACACCAGGAAAGGATGTCAATCCGAAATTGCACAAGCGGATGGCTCAAAAATGTCAATATTGAGCTGCAAGAATGGATGGTCTCAATTCCTATAGTGATAGTAGAGCTTAATGATTG